ATGTCGAAAATGCTCATCCTTGTCCACTTGACATTCCACTTTTACGACCTGAAATTAACATAATTACTTCAGTCACAGTAATTAGAACAATTTGTTAGCAAGCAAATAATTACAACAAATATTTTACCCTGGAAATTTGACGGCAATCGTAAAATTTATCGCTTAACACAATTCATGATAGCGCGGACATGCACAAAAATGATTAAGACCGTCGGGGCATGGCCACCTTTTAAACCTGAGCCTTTGACACAACTTCCAAAGTCTGATTTCCAAAATGATAGATTACAGTAATTCTCTGCAAAGCTAAGGTAGTTTTAATGCGATAAACTCTCTGTGCAGAATCATTAGAGAGTTGACTAGGTATGGAGGTTTCCATACACGCTGTTCGTATATAATATCTAGTTTTTACAACAGCTATACAACAATTTTATTCTAAGAAAAAAGTGTTTTTTTCTGTGCTCGTATTACATCATGCTAATTCTCAAAAAGTTGAGGAATGCATGTCAACCTTGTCCCTACCATATGCCTTGTAGTAATGGTACTATACAAAAAAGTTGAGTCATTTGTTCAGAATTTCGCGATTTCGCAATTTTTCTATGAAGCTTGTTGCCTACAACATAGCTACAGGACGAAACAGTAAGGCATATTATGAAAATGGTTATAATATACAACTTTTGCGTGCCAATTATTAAATATGCTTCGTGCAATGACGATCCACAATTTTAATTAGAATTGTCTTGGACCAAGGTGACAAAAAGCTCAAAAGCACTGTTTTATGAATATGTTGATGTCACTTAGAAGTTAATATAATTTGGTTATGAGAACTGGAAGAATGAAATCAAACTCAGGTTATAGCGTGCAAACAAAATTACTCCATTTCGCTCATTATCACAGCATACTATTTATTTCAACAATTTTAGCTTTTTATCTACTCCACCATTGAGAAGTTTGGACCAATCGTTTTTGCGGTGATGATGACCATAAGACAGGTAAATTTAGAATGTCTGGATTAGACACTGCAAAATATAATGTGTGATTTCTGTTTACTAATTACAGATGCTGTCAATCCTCTTGTCATCATTTTACTATGGTCATGCTCTATCTAGTTGGTCCTTGATAGGTTTCGCTATAGTATTCACAGCGATATTCTTGGATATTTATCGAAGGTACTTCGAAAGACGAAGGGTAACCAAGCAGTAACATATGTTGTTCCTCTATATTGTATTTGAGAGTTTGATTATTACTAGTATTAAGAGGAGTCGTTAGCAAACCTAGGAATCATGTACTTGCAAATGCTTTCGTTCAAAACAGTCCTAATCTAATATATCCTTGATGAATTTTATCAACAATCACCTATTTTTGACCTACAGACTTTAAAACAAATGACATAGTCTGTTTTCTTTCACACCCTTCAAATTGTTGAACTTAATTAACATATGAACTCAATTCATAGGCATATGAAGTGAATAAGCGCACATGTATGCATACTTTTTTGTCTGTCGCTTATTTGTTTTCTTTCTATGCTGTTACGGGTTTGTTGCACAATAAAGATATACAGCGGCGGCTTTGAATTTGATTTTTGCTTTTCACAGGTTGAAATGATGTAACATTTTTTTCTGAAACTTTGTAAGATACGGTTCAGCTGAAATGTGCATAATGCATATGACAAAAGAAATTTGCAAGAGAAAAAGTTTGTCTATTCACTTAAGGTACTGCTTTATTGATAGCGATTTTCTTCTTCTAACAGGTCTGGTGAGACACGAGGTCTGCGATAGAAAGCAGCTGAGATTTCAATTTTGCGTGGCCTCACATTTTGAGTTATCAATATCTGATTCTGTAATTTGGTTATATTGTTCATGAGCGTGTCTAGTATGCATTTGCGCAACTGGATTGGAAGACAGTAAATTAATGGTATTATATCAGTTTCTGCAAGCTGCTGACACTGGAATACTAGAAGCGCATGGTGCATAGTACAGTTAGAATGATCAT